TGTGAAAGTGAAAAAGGAATAATCTACCCTGACTACAGCTTGAAATGCTGCATGTTCATGGTGAAGATGTGTGGGCACGTGTTATGGCAGATTGAAAACGATCCCTCTTCGTGGGGAAAAAAAAAAACAACCTGTCTTGTTCATAGATTGACAATGCCAATAAATTAAAGTACAGTTCAAAAAAAAAAAATTTTCTCTTTTATTCCTAGTTTGCTAAGAGCTTTTATTAAGAATTAATGCTGAGTTTATAAACTGTTTTTTCTATAGCCATTGAGATAATGAAGTAATTTAGAACTTCCATCTGTTAATGTGAGAATTTCATTGATTAATTTTTCTAATGTTAAACCTATCTTGCGTTCCTGGGATAAATCCAGCTTGTTCATGATTTGTTATCCTTTCTAAATATTATAGATTCAGTTTGATAAAATTTTGTTTATGTTTTTGTATCTATGTTTATGAGTGAGGTTGCACTGTGAGTTTTCTTTTTGTATTATCGTTGTCAGGCTTTAATATCAAGGTCTGGCTTGCCAGTGTTAGCCAACCTTTTTTTCATTATTGCCTCCATAATGACACTTTTTAAAGTTTCTTTTGTTTTGTTTGTTTGTTTAACTTATTTTATTTTTGACTGTGTTGGGTTTTGGTTTCTGTGCTTGGGCTTTTCTCTAGTTGTGGCGAGCGGGGGCTACTCTTCGTTGCAGTGCACAGGCTTCTCATTGCAGTGGCTTCTCTTGTTGCGAAGCACGGGCTCTAGGTGCACAGGCTCAGTAGTTGTGGTGCATGGGCTTAGTTACTCCACGGCATGTGGGATCTTCCCAGACCAGGGCTCGAACCTGGGTCCCCTGCATTGGCAGGCAGATTCTTAATCACTACGCCACCAGGGAAACCCAATAATGACACTTCTTAGATAATTTTTTTCTGTCACTCTCCCATGAAATTTTAATGGCACTGATATAAAGTAATTCTATTTTTGTACTGTAGGCATCTGCACTTTGTACTTGAAAGGGTAAGATTCCCCCCTGCCTAGAAATCAGTTTGCACTCCCTTGGGGGCAATATTGTCTCATTGAGAATGCATGGTCTCGCCTCATAAAATGGATTGGACTGTGCTCCCTCTTTTTTTCACGTGGTTATTCTTTAAAATTTAAATGACATTTTTATTCATGAAGCTGATTGATGTAATTTTCATTCACCTCTTAATATTTACTTAGGAGAAATTTGAACAAACTCACCAGCCTCTGCAAAGGGAACATCATAAACATCAAGAACTTGTGCATCAGTCGAAAAAAAGTCTGAGTGAGGTAAGAAAAAATTACAGTCTTTTACTTAATAACAGTAGCTAGTTACAGGTTAGCTTTTACCTTGGAAGTATTTTGTTTGAATATATTAAAATATACAAATCCAAGCTAAAAGATATCAGTTGTACATAAGAGTATTATAAACACGTCACAAAAATTTGGGAAGAAGAAAAAAGTCAATCACCCATTTAACACAATAGCTGATTTTTACTGAATGTATCAAAACTTAAACAATCGATGTGTGTTATGTCCTTTGAAAAATCACCTTGGGACAGTACACACTTCTTCCCAAATACGTTTGGAGCTTCTTTTGGGGGGGAGTCCTTTAGACTGTATAGCACATTATTTTACATATAATTAATTCTGTTTGTGGGAATTATTTTTTGACCTGGGGAAATGTTATTAAGAGCTACATCCAAAAGGCCATATATGACAAGCCCACAGCCAACATCATCCTCAATGGTGAAAAACTGAAAGCATTTCCACTAAGATCAGGAACAAGACAAGGTTGCCCACTCTCACCACTTATTCAACATAGCTTTGGAAGTTTTAGCCACAGCAATCAGAGAAGAAAAGGAAATAAAAGGAATCCAAATCGGAAAAGAAGAAGTAAAGCTGTCACTGTTTGCAGATGACATGATACTATACATAGAGAATCCTAAAGATGCTACCAGAAAACTACTAGAGCTAATCAATGAATTTGGTAAAGTAGCAGGATACAAAATTAATGCACAGAAATCTCTGGCATTCCTATATACTAATGATGAAAAATCTGAAAGTGAAATCAAGAAAACACTCCCATTTACCATTGCAACAAAAAGAATAAAATATCTAGGAATAAACCTACCTAAGGAGACAAAAGACCTGTATGCAGAAAATTATAAGACACTGATGAAAGAAATTAAAGATGATACAAACAGATGGAGAGATATACCATGTTCTTGGATTGGAAGAATCAACATTGTGAAAATGACTCTACTTCCCAAAGCAATCTATAGATTCAATGCAATCCCTATCAAACTCAAACTACCACTGGCATTTTTCACAGAACTAGAACAAAAAATTTCACAATTTGTATGGAAACACAAAAGACCCCGAATAGCAATCTTGAGCACGAAAAACGGAGCTGGAGGAATCAGGCCCCCTGACTTCAGACTATACTACAAAGCTACAGTAATGAAGACAGTATGGTACTGGCACAAAAAGGGAAAGATAGATCAATGGAACAGGATAGAAAGCCCAGAGATAAACCCACGCACATATGGACAGCTTCTCTTTGATAAAGGTGGCAGGAATGTACAGTGGAGAAAGGACAGCCTCTTCAATAAGTGGTGCTGGGAAAACTGGACAAGTACATGTAAAAGTATGAGATTAGATCACTCCCTAACACCATACACAAAAATAAGCTCAAAATGGATTAAAGACCTAAATGTAAGGCCAGAAACTATCAAACTCTTCGCAGAAAACATAGGCAGACACTCTATGACATAAATCACAGCAAGATGCTTTCTGACCCACCTCCTAGAGAAATGGAAATAAAACCAAAAATAAACAAATGAGACCTAATGAAACTTCAAAGCTTTTGCACAGCAAAGGAAACCATGAACAAGACCAAAAGACAACCCTCAGAATGGGAGAAAATATTTGCAAATGAAGCAACTGACAAAGGATTAATTTCCAAAATTTACAAGCAGCTCATTCAGCTCAGTAACAAAAAAACAAACAACCCAATCCAAAAATGGGCAGAAGACCTAAAGAGACATTTCTCCAGAGAAGATATACAGACTGCCAACAAACACATGAAAGAATGCTCAACATCATTAATCATTAGAGAAATGCAAATCAAAACTACAATGAGATATCATCTCACACCAGTCAGAATGGCCATCATCAAAAAATCTAGAAACAATAAATGCTGGAGAGGGTGTGGAGAAAAGGGAACACTCTTGCACTGCTGGTGGGAATGTGAATTGGTTCAGCCACTATGGAGAACAGTATGGAGGTTCCTTAAAAAACTACAAATAGAACTACCATATGACCCAGCAATCCCACTACTGGGCATATACCCTGAGAAAACCATAATTCAAAAAGAGTCATGTACCAAAATGTTCATTGCAGCTCTATTTACAATAGCCCGGAGATGGAAACAACCTAAGTGCCCATCGTCGGATGAATGGATAAAGAAGATGTGGCACATATATACAATGGAATATTACTCAGCCATAAAAAGAAACGAAATTGAGCTATTTGTAATGAGGTGGATAGACCTAGAGTCTGTCATACAGAGTGAAGTAAGTCAGAAAGAGAAAGACAAATACCGTATGCTAACACATATATATGGAATTTAAGAAAAAAAAATGTCATGAAGAACCTAGGGGTAAGACAGGAATAAAGACACAGACCTACTAGAGAACGGACTTGAGGATATGGGGAGGGGGAAGGGTGAGCTGTGACAAAGCGAGAGAGAGGCATGGACATATATACACTAACAAACGTAAGGTAGATAGCTAGTGGGAAGCAGCCACATGGCACAGGGGTATCTGCTCGGTGCTTTGTGACCGCCTGGAGGGGTGGGATAGGGAGGGTGGGAGGGAGGGAGACACAAGAGGGAAGAGATATGGGAACATATGTATATGTATAACTGATTCACTTTGTTATAAAGCAGAAACTAACACACCATTGTAAAGCAATTATACCCCAATAAAGATGTTAAAATAAAAAAAAAAAGAGCTACACCCAGTGAATAAAACATATACAGAGAATTTAACAATGGGAAGTAACCCAAGATAAATATATATGGATGAAACTGTATATCCATCATAATATTATTTTCAATATCAAAAATTGGAAACTACCAAAATGTTGAAATGATTATATAAATTATCTGCACCCACTGGAGCATTATATAGCCTTTAAAAATAATCATCACAAAATCTGTACAGCAATATAGAAAAATGTTCCTCATATAATGTTAAATGAAAAAGCCAGACAGAAACGTGTATATAGATTGGGATTATGACTATGTGAAAAATGTACGTAAATAAAAAATACTGCAAGGAAATATACCACTAAGCTAAAAATAGTTTTGTTATGTAGATGGTATTGGTTATTTTCTTATTTTTTAGAAAAATTTATGTAATGATTATATTTATATAAAATAAATACATATCTTGGGGATCTAAAGCAAAATATCACTGAGGTTGAATTTCTTTCTTAGTTTTTAACATGCTTTGAAAGTAATTGTAGGAAAGGAGCTCTAAACATGATTTGAGCCTTAATTGTGTACATACCTTGAAATTAAATGAAATACCTTATGTAAAGGCATTTTATAAACTGTATTTAATTACCATATAAATGAGGAGTATTTTCACTCTCTTGGGCCCGATGATAATTTTTATGATTAAATTTCTATTATATAACCATAATCTCTTAGATATGTTAGGTTTGAACCTTGTGAAATTGCATGTTTATAGGTTAAAAACAATCAAATATCACCAATTTTCTATGGTTCAACCTAGTAAAAGAAATGCACATAAATATTCTGTTTGCTGCTCTTCTTTATTGGCTTTCAAACATTTATAGGTAATAGCACGATGTCATAAGGGTATATTTACTTTTTGGTGTACTACTAACAATCGTTTTATTTCAGTCCCATGATGAAGACCCAGAAAAAGGTAAAATATCACAAAACTGCAGAGAGAGAGATATGGAACAAGTAACAAGGAGGTTAGGGATGGCCCATGAAGAGATCCAAAGGCTCACTGATGAACTGCAAGGGAAGGAGAAAGAACAGAGTAAATTAGGTAAGCTGTGGTTACAGATGAACATGTCTAACAATGTTTTAAGTGTAATGATACTACTCAGGTTGGAACATGAGAGCACTGAGAAAAAAAATCTTTTAAGATAAACACATAAAAGTCTGATATACAGCCTCATTTTCTACAGTGTCCAGAAATTTTTATTGAAGCATAGCATAACATACCTACCAAAAAGTGTACAACTCCAATATTTACACTACCCAGTGCAAGAAATTTCCAGCACTCTGGAAGCCCTGTTTCTTCTTCCTATGTCTGCATATTCTCTCCTCCCCCAAAATAATGACTCTCCTAACTTTTAAGGTTATTTCTGAGTTTTGACTACAGGGAGTATGCATCCTTTAGTTTTTTTCTTTCGTTCAATCTTATGTTTGTGAGATTCATTTATGTTGTTGCATGTAGCAGTAGTTTGTTCACTTTTGTTGTTTGTACTCTAGTATTCCATTGAATAAGCCTACTCAATGTATTCTATTTATCCATTCTACTGATGATGGACATTTATGTTGTTTCCAGTTGTGCTCTATTATGAATTGTGCTGCTATGAATATTCTTGTGCTTATCTGTACATCTCTGATCATGACATTCCTAAGAGTAGAATTATTAGATCAAAGGGTTACGGGTTTGTTCTACTTTGGTAGATACTGCCATACTGTCTTCCAAATAGTTGTATTAACTTAAGGTCTTCTCAGTTGTATATGAGATTTTGGTTGCTTCACATTCTTTGTCAATACTCAGTATTGTCAGTCTTATTAATTTTACCTTTTCTGTTGAGTATGTACTAGTATTTAATTGTGGCTTTACTTTGCATTTCCCTGACGGCTAACGATGTTGAAAATCCTTTAATATGTTTGTTGTTGTTGTTATTGCTCATTTAGATATACTATTTTGTGAAGTTCCTGCTCAAGTCTTGCACATATTTTTCTATTGGGTCATATCTTTATGTTTTGTAGGAGTTTATTAATTTGTAGGAGTTTTCTGTATATTCTGGATATGAGCCTTTGGTTGGATATAAATGTCATGTTAAGTTTTTTTGCCATATAGAAATGCTAATATTTATCAAGTCAAATTTAACCAAGTTATTCTTTATGGCTTCTGGGTTTTCATGTGTAAAGCCTTTTCTGTATCACTACAAGGTTATTGAAAATGTTCTCCTCTGGTGTTTCTTTTTCTTTTAGTGCATTTATGGATTTATTATTTATGTTTCAATCTTTGCTTTATCTATAATTTATTTTAGTATGAAGTTTAAATTTTTTTAATGATTTCCTCTCTATATAATTTGCAATAATTAAAGAAATTAGACTGATTCTTTTTCATGCAGTATATATGTTACTTTAGGATCATTTCTTAAAAATGTTAAATGTGTAAAACAATAATGATCCTGCCAAATTGATTGTGGAATTAAAAACAAAGAATATCAGGAGAGTTGAGATTTTGTTAAGAATGTATTTTAAACAGTGAACACAAATGACCTTTTCAGAATGATGGAAAATTGGGCTAATGGGTACACAATTGCATATATCTGTCAAAATTCATCAAATTACTTAAAAGGATGAATTTTACTGTATGCAAAGTATATCTCAATAAACCCAATTAGAAAAAAAAAGAAATTTTGCCACGTGAGTCTGATGAGAAGCAGTCTGCTACTTGTAGTACAGAAGGAGAAAGGAAAAAGTAGGAGCCCTGTTATGTTTAGTTACATTTGGATGCAGCAGAGCACAATCACATAGCACCCCGTTCCATCAGCACTTGGTTGCTCTGGTGTATCCTAAACTATTAATTGAAAACTGTCTGCACAGTGAGTATCCCTAGGGGACCTCTGGGAAGCTGAGTTAGCAAGTCCTTTTACAATATCATATGTAGTGTCAGTGTGGGTCTTACGTGTTATTTCTTGAATCATCCATCAATTTATAGCCAGAATTTATCTCTAGGTATATGTGTTACATGATAGTGTTTCCCAAGTATTAGCCGATTTCTTTCAACAAACTGATTCTTTTAAATGAAGGACTTTATTTTAGTTTATTTTCTAGCTCTCTTTGTATCACACCCAAAAATTTGGATGGGAATGAAAAATTTTGGCCAATAATAAAAATAGTTTTCGGGCTTCCCTGGTGGCGCAGTGCTTGAGAGTCCGCCTGCCGATGCAGGAGACGCGGGTTCGTGCCCCGTTTCGGGAAGATCCCACATGCTGCGGAGCGGCTGGGCCCGTGAGCCATGGCCACTGAGCCTGCGCGTCCGGAGCCTGTGCTCCGCAAATGGGAGAGGCCACAACAGTGAGAGGCCCGCATAACGCAAGGAAAAAAAAAAAAAAAATAGTTTTCAATAATAACAAAGAATACATGCCAAATATTTATTTATTCTTCAATAAATAAATTACAAGAAAAAGATGAATTTTTAAAGGTTTGAAGGAATTATTAACCAAATATAATGTGTGGCCTTTACTGGATTCTGATTCAAACAGATTTTTTAACATTTATGAAACAGTTGGAAGTTTGAATGCTAATTGGCTATTTGTATTAAGGAATTCTTGTTAAATTTCCTTAATCACACATAATGGTATTGAGTTTATATTTTAAAAGAGTCCTTATCTTTTAGATATACATAGTGAAATATTTATAGATGAATGATACGATGTCTGGAGATGCTTCAAAATAATACAGACCCCTACCTCACACCTACACAAAAATTAACTCAAAGTGGACCACAGAACTAAATGTAAGAGTTAAAAATTATAAAATGCTTAGAAAAAAACACAGGAGTAAATCCTTATGATCTGGAGTTAGGCAATCATATGTTAGATATAACACCAAAAGCAAGAGTGATAAGAGAAAACCTAATAAATTGTACTTACTCAAAGTTTAAAATTTCTATACTTCAAAATATACTAACAAGAAAGTGAAAAGACAAACCACAGACTGAGAGAAATATTTGCAAATTATGTGTTTGATGTGGGACTCATATCCAGAATATATGAATTCTCACATATTCTTTTATATTATTATAAAAAGACAGCCCAATTTTAAAATAAACAAAATAAAATTTGAGTAGACATTTCTTTAGAGAAGGTATATGAATGGCCAATAGGCACATGAAAAGATGCTCAACATCATTGGTCATTTGGGAAGTGCAAATTAAAACAATGAGATCCGTCTTCACACCCTCTAGAATGGCTATAATAAAAAAGACAATGACGAGTGTTGGCAAGGATGTGTAGAAATTGGAACATTGTTGATGGGATTGTAAAATGATGCAGACACTTTGGAAAACAATTTGGCAGTTTCTCAACGTGTTAAATGTAAAATTATCATGTGACCCAGCAGTTCCACTCCTGCGTGACCGAGGGGAAATGAAGATGTATGTCCACTCAAAAACTTGTGTGAGACATTAACACAACATTGTAAGTCAACTACACTTCAGTAAAATAAATTTTAAAAAAAACCTTGTATGTGAATGTTCAGAGCACTATTATTTACAGTAGCCAAAACAGAAACAAATCAAACGTACATCATTTGGTGAGTATATAAACAAAACGTGGTATATCCATCCTGTGCAGAAAATAGTTAACATAGAAAACCTGCTAGTGGGAAGCTGCTGCATAGCACGGGGAGATAAGCTTGATGCTTTGTGATGACCTAGAGGGATGGAGGAATAGGGAGGGTAGGAGGGAGGCTCAAGAGGGAGGGGATATGGGGATACATGTATCCATATAGCTGATTCACTTTATTGTACAGCAGAAACTAACACAACATCGTAATGCAATTATACTCCAATAAAGATGTAAAAAAAAAGAAGACCTGACACTGCTGTCCTTAGAAAGTCCTGCTTGTCAGGTTAGCCCTTGGCTAACATCTGGAAACTTGCATTTGGGGAAGGTTCCCACCATTCCCCAATTTGTAATAGTGGCTCACTGTGCTTGACCTCTTTGTACAAACAATGTGATTTATGCTGAAAACCTGCTTTCCTTCTGAGAGTCTGGGATTTTGATGTGTCCTAGGCAGAAGGTGGTGTCTATGTCACCAGCCCCCAATAAATATGTTGGCCACCGAGTCTGTAATGAATTTTCCTGGTAGACAACATTTCACACAAATTGTCAATTTGTTGCTGGAGAAATTAAGCAAATCCTGTGTGACTCTGCCGGGAGAAGACTCTCGGAAGCTTGTGCCTGATTTCCTCGTGCACCTTTTCTGTGTGATTGGGAATGATCTCTTACAAGATTCATGTTAGTGTCTTACTTCTGGGAGATCCCTCAACTTGCCGTTATAGGAGGCCTATCAGCCATACCATTGGTGATGAGTATAACCACAGGAGGCAAAGTGATAAAACCTGGGTTAGAGCACCCAAATCCAAAAGACTACAATGCCCCATATACTTTCCTTATGCCCTTCTGCTCTCCTCATAAAATTCTTAAGTAGTACCAAAAGCTATTTCCTGAAATTTTGCTATTTTGATATTTCTAGAAACTACTGGCAAAATTCTAAATATTATTAATTGCAGGAATTAATTTTAAGTATTTCTGTGTGTAATTTCTTTTTACTAAACTGGTAGTACCATGCTTAAAAACTTTCAGCTGTTCCTGTTGTTTACAGTAGTCCAAACTCTTCAGCATAGAATCTGGTTAGGGAAATGGAAAGATTACAGATCAGATGGTATCAAGGACAGGGATAAATATAAGGTGCAGTAGGAATATTAAGAGGGGAATCTGGAAAACATTCCGGGAGGAGGTGACATTTATGCAGAAAGTCAGGGGACAGCCATCAGAAAGAAAGTGTTCCAAAGAGAAATAGTAGTTTGAAATTTGATTATTATACTAATCAGTTGCTCCATACACAAATATTTTGTTCTTTTTTTCTTTTAGATTCTGCACTTGAGAAGTCTCAACTAGAAATTGAGAAATTGAAAGAAAATTTGATAAAGCTGAAAGAAAATGGTGAGTCATTTTAGCAGATATAACAATATTTAATAATAAAATATTGAACAATAATATAATTTATGTTAAGTAATATTTTTAAATAATATTACTTAATAAATGTAATAATATTACTACTACTGCTATTGAGGCAGGAGATAGATGGGCCTCAGGCTGAACAGTTGGAGTTCGTCCCCTGTGGACAGATACTCCAAAGTAGCAGGAGGGAGGAGAAGCTAAACCCTGCCCAGACAAAAGATAAAAGACCACATATTCCTCATTCGCGAAGGAGGAGACCTTCCTGACTACACACATGCAGAAAGGATCCTTGAAGGTCGAAAAGGGAGGGGGTGCCACCCCATAGTAGGTGATGTCAGGCTACCCATAGGCCTCTTTGCTAGAATCCATCTTGGCTAAGAGATGTGCGCGCACACGTGGGAGGACCCTGAGATATATCAAATACAGGCTCAGGCCAGGCAAACCAAGATGATTAGCCAAGGAAACCTGGAAGAAATGCTCCATAAAAGTGAATCAAACTACCACGAGGGTGCGACTCTCTCTCTGAGCGCCCCAGTGTGTCTATCCACAGGTACCCTTTTTCCTCCAAATAAACACTTTACTTGTTTCACTACTTTCTGTCTTTGGGAATTCATTTCTGCAGAGCTGTACGGGCCAGGGCTTTGTCACTGCCCACTGGTCTAGTGCCTAGGATTCAGCACTCTCACTGTCGTGGCCTGACTTTAATCTCTGGCTGGGAACCAAAATCCTGCTTCAAGCCGCTGCAGACTGAGGCCACCCTAGATCACTATTATCACTATATCTACTGCTATTACTATTACTACCACTTGTTGCTTACAAAGAGGTACACTGTCAAGCATTTTACTTTATTTATTTATTTAAAAAATTTTTTTTAACATCTTTATTGGAGTATAATTGCTTTACAATGGTGTGTTAGTTTCTGCTTTATAACAAAGTGAATCAGTTATACATATACATATGTCCCCATATCTCTTACCTCTTGCATCTCCCTCCCTCCCACCCTCCCTATCCCACCCCTCTAGCTGGTCACAAAGCACCCAGCTGATCTCACTGTGCTATGCGGCTGCTTCCCACTAGCTATCTATTTAATGTTTGGTAGTGTATATATGTCCATGTCACTCTCTCACTTTGTCCCAGCTTACCCTTCCCCCTCCATGTATCCTCAAATCCATTCGCTAGTAGGACTGTGTCTTTATTCCCATCTTGCCCCTAGGTTCTTCATGACCTTTTTTTTTTTTTTAGATTCCATATATATCTGTTAGCATATTGTATTTGTTTTTCTCTTTCTGACTAACTTCACTCTGTATGACGGTCTCTAGGTCCATCCACCTCACTACAAATAACTCAATTTCGTTTATTTTTATGGCTAATATTGCATTGTATATATGTGCCACATCTTCTTTATCCATTCATCTGTCGATGGACATTTAGGTTGCTTCCATATCCTGCCTATTGTAAATAGAACTACAATGAACATTTTGGTACATGACTCTTTTTGAATTATGGTTTTCTCAGGGTATATGCCCAGCACTGGGATTGCTGGGTCATATGGTAGTTCTATTTGTAGTTTTTTAAGGAACCTCCATACTGCTCTCCATAGTGGCTGTATGAATTTACATTCCCACCAACAGTGCAAGAGTGTTCCCTTTTCTCCACACCCTCTCCAGCATTTATTGTTTCTAGATTTTTTCATGATGGCCATTCTGAGTGGTGTGAGATTATATCTCATTGTAGTTTTGATTTGCATTTCTCTAATGATTAATGATGTTGAGCGTTCTTTCATGTGTTTGTTGGCAATCTGTATATCTTCTTTGGAGAAATATCTATTTAGGTCTTCTGCCCATTTTTGGATTGGGTTGTTTGTTTCTTTGATATTAAGCTGCATGAGCTGCTTGGAAATTTTGGACGTTGTTCCTTTGTCAGTTGCTTCATTTGCAAATATTTTCTCCCATTCTGACAGTTGTCTTTTGGTCTTGTTTTTGGTTTCCTTTGCTGTGCAAAAGCTTTGAAGTTTCATTAGGTCCCATTTGTTTACTTTTGTTTTTATTTCCATTTCTCTAGGAGGTGGGTCAAAAAGGATCTTGCTGTGATTTATGTCATAGAGTGTTCTGCCTATGTTTTCCTCTAAGAGTTTGATAGTTTCTGGCCTTACATTTAGGTCTTTAATCCATTTTGAGCTTATTTTTGTGTATGGTGTTAGGGAGTGATCTAATCTCATACTTTTACATGTACCTGTCCAATTTTCCCAGCACCACTTATTGAAGAGGCTGTCCTTTCTCCACTGTATATTCCTGCCACCTTTATCAAAGATAAGGTGACCATATGTGCATGGGTTTATCTCTGGGCTTTCTATCCTATTCCATTGATCTATCTTTCTGTTTTTGTGCCAGTACCATACTGTCTTGATTACTGTAGCTTTGTAGTATAGTCTGAAGTCAGGCAGCCTGATTCCTCCAGCTCCATTTTTTGTTCTCAAGATTGCTTTGGCTATTCGGGGTCTTTTGTGTTTCCATACAAATTGTGAAATTTTTTGTTCTAGTTCTGTGAAAAATGCCAGTGGTAGTTTGATAGGGATTGCATTGAATCTGTAGATTGCTTTGGGTAGTAGAGTCATTTTCACAATGTTGATTCTTCCAATCCAAGAACATGGTATATCTCTCCATCTATTTGTATCATCTTTAATTTCTTTCATCAGTGTCTTATAATTTTCTGCATACAGGTCTTTTGTCTCCTTAGGTAGGTTTATTCCTAGATATTTTATTCTTTTTGTTGCAGTGGTAAATGGGAGTGTTTTCTTGATTTCACTTTCAGATTTTTCATCCTTAGTATATAGGAATGCCAGAGATTTCTGTGCATTAATTTTGTATCCTGCTACTTTACCAAATTCATTGATTAGCTCTAGTAGTTTTCTGGTAGCATCTTTAGGATTCTCTATGTATAGTATCATGTCATCTGCAAACAGTGACAGCTTTACTTCTTCTTTTCCGATTTGGATTCCTTTTATTTCTTTTTCTTCTCTGATTGCTGTGGCTAAAACTTTCAAAACTATGTTGAGTAAGAGTGGTGAGAGTGGGAAACGTTGTCTTCTTCCTGATCTTAGTGGAAATGCTTTCACTTTTTCACCATTGAGGACGATGTCGGCTGTGGGTTTGTCATATATGGCCTTTATTATGTTGAGGAAAGTTCCCTCTGTGCCTACTTTCCACAGGGTTTTTATCATAAATGGGTGTTGAATTTTGTCGAAAGCTGTCTCCACATCGATTGAGATGATCATATGGTTTTTCTGCTTCAATTTGTTAATATGGTGTATCACATTGATTGATTTGCTTATATTGAAGAATCCTTGCATTCCTGGGATAAACCCCACTTGATCATGGTGTATGATCTTTTTAGTGTGCTGTTGGATTCTGTTTGCTAGTATTTTGTTGAGGATTTTCGCATCTATGTTCATCAGTGATATTCGCCTATAGTTTTCTTTCTTTGTGACATCTTTGTCTGGTTTTGGTATCAGGGTGATGGTAGCCTTGTAGAATGAGTTTGGGAGTGTTCCTCCCTCTGCTATATTTTGGAAGAGTTTGAGAAGGATAGGTGTTAGCTCTTCTCTAAATGTCTGATAGAATTCACTTGTGAAGCCATCTGGTCCTGGGCTTTTGTTTGTTACAAGATTTTTAATCACCGTTTCAATTTCTGTGCTTGTGATTGGTCCGTTTATATTTTCTATTTCTCCCTGGTTTAGTCTCGGAAGGTTGTGCATTTCTAAGAATTTGTCCATTTCTTCCAGGTTGTCCATTGTATTGGCATATAATTGCTAGTAGTAATCTCTCATGATCCTTTATATTTCTGCAGTGTCAGTTGTTACGTCTCCTTTTTCATTTCTAATTCTATTGATTTGAGTCTTCTTCCTTTTGTTCTTGATAAGTCTAGCTAATGGTTTATCAATTTTGTTTATCTTCTCAAAGAACCACCTTTTAGTTTTATTGATCTTTGCTATTGTTTCCTTCTTTTTCATTTATTTCTGATCTGATCTATATGATTTCCTTCCTTCTGCTAGCTTTGGGGTTTTTTTGTTCTTCTTTATCTAATTGCTTTAGGTGTAAGGTTAGGCTGTTTATTTGAGATGTTTCTTGTTTCTTAAGGTAGGATTTTATTGCTATAAACCTCCGTCTTAGAACTGCTTTTGCTGCATCCCATAGGTTTTGGGTTGTCATTGTCATTTGTTTCTAGGTAGTTTTTGATTTTTTCAGTGATCTCTTATTTATTAAGTAGTGTGTTGTTTAGCCTCCATGTGTTTTTATTTTTTACAGATTTTTTCCTGGAATTGATATCTAGTCTCATAGTGCTATGCTCAGAAAAAATACTTGATACAATTTCAATTTTCTTAAATTTACCAAGGCTTCATTTGTGGCCCAAGATGTGATCTATTCTGGAGAATGTTCCATGAGCACTTGAGAAAAATGTGTGTTCTGTTGTTTTTGGATGGAATTTCCTATAAATATCAATTAAGTCCATCTTGTTTCATGTATCATTTAAAGCTTGTGTTTCCTTATTTTATTTCATTTTGGATGATCTGTCCATTGGTGAATGTGAGCTGTTAAAGTCCCCTACTATGATTGTGTTACTGTCGATTTCCCCTTTTATGGCTGTTAGTATTTGCCTTATATGAGGTGCTCCTATATTGGGTGTATAAATATTTACAATTGTTATATCTTCTTCTTGGATTGATCTCTTGATCATTATTTAGTGTCCTTCTTTGTCTCTTATAATAGTCTTTGTTTTAAACTCTATTTTGTCTGATATGAGAATTGCTTCTCCAGCTTTCTTTTGGTTTCCATTTGCATAGAATATCTTTTTCCATCCCCTCACTTTCAGTCTGTATGTGTCCCTAGGTCTGAAGTGGGTCTCTTGTAGACAGCATATATACAGGTCTTGTTTTTGTATCCATTCAGCCAATCGATGTCTTTTGGTTGGAGCATTTAATCCAT